CCCCCTGTTCCTTCTCCTGCTCTGTGCGGAGGTCGCGGTGCCTCATTGCGCTTACCCCGCAACCCCGGCTGAACATCAGCCCTTTAGGGCCCCGTCTGTGGTGGTCTAATGGCTCTTTGAGGCGCGCGCGGAACGCTACGCGCCGTACGCTCGGGCTTGGTTCTGGTCGGGCGGCGAGCTGCCCTTACTCGCCGACCGCAGGCCCATGCTTACAGTGGCCGGACATCGTCCCTCGATCCCCGACGCCCGTAGTGTCGCCAGTTGCGGCTGCCTGGGCGTGAGGTGCTCCCTCACGCGGGCCGCCTCTCTCTTTGCGAGCATGACTGCTTCACAAAAGGAGGAGACGGCGTCCCAGTTCCTCTCACTCCGCACCATGGCCTCGACTAAGGCCGGGCGCGAGAGGTCGCCGCCGCCGATCACTTCCCTGAGGATACGGCGGTGCTCAGTCCAGGCAGGGCATACCGCTACCGTATGCTCCACCGTATCCTCTATCTAGGTGGTCCTCACAATGACGACACTCGGGCGTTTCCTCCGATTCTATTAGTGTTGGGTAGTCTATTTTTCAAGGAAGGTCCATCACATATACATATCACTTCATCAGCTGATAAGTGCTTACTGCTAAGCAAAGTCCTCTTTTCACACGAGAAGGTTTGAGCATCAACCACCACGCTTGATTAAGGCGAATTGAAGATTTCAAACTTATAATTAGAAATTGATATGTCCTTGTTTCCTCATCACGATGTTTTCCTTTATCGCATGTTAGTGGTGTCTAAGTAATCATAGAAAGTACATATAACCCGGAAAAAGTCATATTGGTACTTGCCATGCACCCTCATACATGAGAAGTGGGCGCCCACACGAGGATGGTTGTAAATGGTACCCGGGCAGCGGGTGAAACCGCACGGAATTAGCTAGTGATACTTACATTTGTTTCGAAATACATCCTTGAAACTGGAGATAATCCTAGTGTGGTGTAACCGCTTGTAACCGTTGACTCATATTAGTAGATCATGGGTGTAACTTAATTTCTTAAATTAACTAGGCCTTGTTTATTAAAACATTTTTTTAATTATAAGTACATATAAATAAAACTAGATGAAGACGATAATCCCTATTGTGTACCATGTACCCTGAGAAAGGTTGCCGAAACAAACTCAGAGGTATCACTTTCAAGTCCAGAGAAAAATAATAAATACATATAAAGCGTTAATTTGGATTCTTAATAGATTCCTGGATACAAGGCCACAGTGCGATGTGCTCTCGAGCGCAAGAAGACTATTTTTATCAGAATGCTTGAAGTTCTGCGAGAGAGATGAGAGAATACAAGCTATATCTGACATTGTGTAATTTTTATGAGGGACGTCGGTAATCGATCTGAACGGATTACCTGATGGTAAGCAATCGGCGCCGCCCATGGAGACTCGCAACAATATAGAAGTTAGAAGTGCGTTGCCGGCCTTTTGAGGTTTCGGATATTTAGGGTTTAGGAAGGGATGAAGGGAGAGGAAGAGGGATTGGACCTGCAGTAACCTCACTCACACGGTGAAACACAACGCTGTGGTTATTCCACACCGGTTTGTTGTGAGGCCGTGGTATTACTCCGGTCGAGCCGACCCATTCGTGACGAAGCGGGGCTCTCCCACACTTTTCTTTTTTTTCTTTTACATATGTACCTGTATATAAAGTATATTACCTAAAAGTTTATTAATTCAAACAAATTGAGTTTATTCATATAAATAAATTAATATTTAACCTTGATCATTACCATGATTTCCCGATGTCAAGACGTCTCATTTCTGAATCGAGTGATTGTGTCCTATCTGTGTGCGCATGTACTTAGTATTAACTAACGTAAGTGTCATTGTTCTGTTCGTGGCGTGGTCTAGCATTAATTAATTACAATGACAACATCAATGGACTGAATCGTGATTGGAATTTTTAATTTGCAACTAAGTATGGTACTTTGCATTTGGATGTTGGCTCTTTGATGTTATCGTCATAGCCTTTTTGTGGTTCAGTGCTAAATTAAACTAAGCATTGTATAGCCTGGGTGTCTTCAAGGCCCGAGTGTGTTTGCTTATGGGACCACCAGGCGTGATAGTGGCCAAATGCTTGCCTAGTACGAAATAATAAAAACAATACATATGTACTTTTTTATGTAATAGGTCGGCAAACGAACAGACGGATTATCTGATGGTAAGCAATCAGCGCCCCACATGGCTATCCGCAACATAAGATTACGACTGCGTTGTCGACCTTTTGAAGTTTAGAGATTGGAGATTTAGGGATTGGGGATGGGAAGGATTGGGCCTCCGTTAACCTCACTCACGCGGAGAAACACAACGCTGAGGTTGTTTCACGCCGGTCTTTTGTGAGGCCGTGGTATCACTCCGGTCGAGCCGACCCATTCGTACCGAAGCATGGGTCTCCCTCACTTATACTAATATGGCATATCCCTCCTATATGTTCCGCATATAATGATTGCAATTCAATCAATTAAATCCAAAGAAAAATAATCTGATTTAAGCTACATCTATTAAATAGGAAGGTATTTTACACGTATGTATATGGGAGAACTTGGCTTCGGCACGAACGGGCCGGGAAGTTACCGGTCGGAGGCCTAATACTTCCCCTCCCCCTATCTCTTCTTAACCCCTAAATCTCCGAATCCCTAATCCTCAAAAGGTCGACAACGCACTCGTTACTCTTCCGCACCAGGTAAAACACCCGCTCGTTTGCCGTTAACATAAAAAATGGATTGGTTGCTTATTTATAGTTTTTTTTTTTTTTTTGTAATAGGTCGGCAAACGAGCAGACGGATTACCTGATGGTAAGCAATCAGCGCCGCCCAAGGACACTCGCAACGGAGGAGTTACGAGTGCGTTGCCGACCTTTTAGGGATTAGGGATTTGGAGATTTAGGGATTGAGGAGGGATTGGGGAAGGGGAAGGATTGGGCCTCCGGTAACCTCACTCACACGGCGAAACACAACGCAGTGGTTATTTCACGCCGGTTTTCTGTGAGGCCGTGGTATCACTCCGGTCGAGCCGACCCATTCGTGCCGAAGCATGGCTCTCCCACACTTTTTTCAATTATCAAAACTTCCTCCACATTCCTCTTCTTTATTGAGTATGAGAGGGAGTAATGTTATATTAAACCTTTATCTTCATTTTTTATTCGTTATTATCCTCTTAATCGCTTCACTCTTGATAAAGCTTTTTTTTTTGGGGGGAAGAGAAAATTGCTCCACGTTATCTTCTAGGTGGTCCTCACAATGACGACACTCGGGCGTTTCCTCCATCTGGATCGGAAACAGGAACCTACCGAAGCTACTCTTGATATAGCTGCCGTGGCTCTGATGGTGTAGTGGTATAGAAGAAGAAGGCCGCCAGCGTTTTGCAGTGTCCCTCCGTTTATGCTCATAGTAATTCTGTTGCATTTGTTCAACGAAACGAAATAAATTTTATAAATAAACAAAGAAAACTTAAAAACGATTTTTACAAAATCTAATTATAGAAAGAGGACGGTCAAGGTATTTCAAACGTTCACATTAACATTTCGATATATAAAAGTTTTAATTAAAAAAGAAACTAGTTTTGCATTTGTAAGTAGATAAAATTTATTCACGTTGCAGACATCGTAATATATTTATACTTGAACAACTTCTTAACACGCTTTTATTAGATTCTGTATAATACCAATATTTATTACAATAATACGTGTTATAGTGCAATCGACCTTCTCTTTTAAATATAATAAAGACAGGTCTGATAAAAACCATTCAAGTGTCAGGATTGTTACTGACTACTTACTTAGTGTGGTAGAGCCAAGCTTCGTCGCATATCGAAAAGGGTCAGTTCGACCGGAATGATACCTCACAGAAAACCGGCGCGAAACAACCAGAGCGTTGTGTTTCGCCGTGTGAGTGAGGTTACCGGTGGCCCAATCACCCACTCCCATCCCTTTCTAGTCCTTAAAGATCCTAAACCTTTATTCCTAAAAGGCCGGCAACGCACTCGATAACAACTCCTTTGATATTGCGGGTGTCCATGTGCCGCGCTGATTGCTTACCATCAGGTATTCCGCATGCCCAATCGCCGACCTATAACATAAAAAAATACTTAAAACGCCGTTACTTCTCCTTCGCCGGTCGAAAAAGCGGTAAATGATTGCGTTTGCATCCGCAATCTCGGATGAACCTAGTCGGCTCAACCTGTAGTGGTCTGTTGGCCTTTTGTGCTCGGACAACGGACGGAGCTACCCTTGTTCGCTGTCCGCAGACCCGCGCTTACGGTCTGCGGAGATCGTCTCGCGATCCTCAACGCCTGGAGTGTCTGCTGTAGCGGCTAAGACGTGAGGAGTATAGTTCCTTACCTCGTTTTGCCTCCTTCTTTGCTAGTAAGACTACTGAGCAGAAGGAGGGAAGGAAAGAAAGATGGCTACCCAGTTCATCTCATTTCCCATCACGTTTTCAACTAAAACCGAGCGCGAGAGGTCGCCGAAGATCGCTTTTCCCTAAAGGTTTTCTTAATCCTAATTTAGACTGCCTACAAGTAAACTTATTAAGTTTGTTTTCAAATTAAATACCTAGTAAGATTATGAAATCACACCTTCAGGTGCTTAATATTTCGTTCGTTAATATTTCGTTTTGTGTGTGGCCGAAAATATGTCAGACAAATCGAATTTTCGACAGTCCTTGAGTTTTTAAAAGGTACTGACACTAGACTTTAGTCTAGTCTACTTAGCCCTTGGTGGGTTGCGAGGAGATAAATTATTTTTTAAGGGGAAAAACGAGTTTTATACGTAATTTACTTGTGAATGATCATTCATAACCGCTCATATTTGGCCATGATTTTCAGCGAGACCGTGGTATCATATCATCATCCTATGTAGCAAAAAACAACTTTGTAGCCTCTCTCTAAGCTAAATTGTTGTGGAAATACAAAGTCAAAGAGTTGTATAATGTATAAATAATAATAACAGGACATTTAACATTTCAGAGGACATCATGATAAAGAAATTCCTGTACAGCTGCAACAGCAGTTTGGAGCGGACCAAGAAATGCATTCAGAGCTTCTGCACTTCCCGAAATGCTATGCCTGAGGTGTTCACCGATAGGGATCCAATGTCGCCTAAAGTGCAAACAGCATTTAATATTACGTAAGTTTATCAATTTATTCCTTCATGGCTCCATTCACAATGTCTTGAAAGCTATTACCTTGCAAATAAATTATTGATTTACACCTCCACTTCCCATAACTTCCTATATTGCTGCATATCACCTATCACACATCTCTGCACTACCAAACGGATGACTGGCAGAAAATATAAGCCCTCCGACATGAAATTGTATGTTTTAAGTGTGGGAGAGCCAAGCTTCGGCTCGACCGGAGTGATACCACGGCCTCACAGAATACCGGCGTGAAACAACCCACAGCGTTGTGTTTCGCCGTGTGAATGAGGTTACCGAAGGCCCAATCCCTCCCCTTCCCCTATCCCTTCCCAATCTTTATATCCGCAACCCCCATCCCCAAAAGGCCGGCAACGCACTCGTAACTCCTTTGGTGTTGCGGGTGTCCATGGGCGGCGCAGATTGCTTACCATCAGGTAATCCGTCTGCTCGTTTGCCGACTTATACCATATAAAAAGACTAAATATATAGTACTAGCTTTTGCCCGCAACTCCTAGATTTTTGGTATAAAAACTATGCTATGTCCTTCCTCGAGTTACAAACTATGACTGTACCAAATTTCCCAGAAATCGGTTCAGTAGTTTAGGCGTGAAGAAGAGACAGACAGACAGACAGAGTGGCTTATGCATTAATAATATTAGTTTGGATTCTTATTGTTTGTACACCCATGTCACAAACTCCTTTGGTGTAAAATAAAAATTATTTAATATTATTGATTTCGATCCATTTTTATTTATAATTATTTCAAAATTATTTATTTATGTATGCTTATACAATGAAATGAAGTTGTTACAAAAGGCGGACTTAATGCCATATGGCATTCTCTATCGATTTGCCCATATTTTTAAACATAATAATATTTCTTTTCAGTTCTGTCGCTACATACTTGGCCGGCAAAGATGAGATCCTCATTCATCGTTTGGAAAAAACAGAAAATTTTGATTTCTACGACTGTGTCAAGTCTTTCAGTCTTCAAGCTGACCAGTGGATGACATTGGACAGAGACGTACTGCCTGAGAACCACATTGTCATCTTAGATATCAAAGTATTTACCCTGATGGTCGTCGCCAAGTCCAACGTATTTTTCTTCCAGAAGTTTGTTCTTTTTTTATTGGTCAGTATTTAGGTACATTACATTGCATTTAATACAGTTTTAAAAACCCAAGAATAAAACTAAATTAGGTACTTTATGTTTTTATATTTCCAACGATTCTTATATTAAACGAAATGACAAAACAAAAATATGTCCCAATTTTTTACTTTAATCCTATTCAATAAAAAATTAAATGTTTCTACTTGGGCATAAAATAAATTAAAACAATTTAGTCACCTTTCAAAAGTGGTAATTCGAGACAATTGAAGAACAGAAGTGCGCGAGCGCCGCCACTCGCTTGAAGTTTGATATTTAAAAAAAAATACATTGCTTAATAACCCTCCTTTTGCTTTGCCGTAGGCGGGTAAAAATTCGTTTGTCTAATTTAATGAGTATTTTTTATAATAATTTCAGGAAGCTATGCCAGTACATCTGACTCAGGTCCACGTGGTGAACTGTCCGTCATTTTACGAATACATGTATGGTTTAGTCAAAGGTGCATTACCGCAGCATATTAGAGATATTGTAAGACCATTTTTTACAACTAAAATACTTTATTACAGACCAGAGATACATACATAAGTGTATTTAATTTGTAATCCTTATGTTTGGTAGAAAATTTTTGTTAATTAGTTAATATTTATCACTAATGACATGAACACTATGTCTTCTTGCCCAGTATCTTATAAACGGGCCGTCAATTTTGTGTGCTAGTATAGCAAGCATATTGTTAGAACTGTCAATCAATCGTCGCATCATGAAAGCCAGAATAGATGACTTCTATGTTATTATATCTAATTTCAGATCCATTTCCATTCGGACCACGTTGGGCTGCACAACCATATTGACAAGAAGTACCTGCCCGTAGAATATGATGGCGAAGCGGAGAGCTTGGTGGAACAGAGTCAGTTTTGGGTTAAAGAAATTTCTGAGAGAAGGTAAGCTAATAAATACATTGATTGTGTTTTTTATAATACCTAAAGACGACTCAACCTAAATACCACGTGTAAATAAACTTCAGTACGAAAACAAAATCGCTATAAGGTGGCGGGTTGCGGGGATAGGTAGTGTAGTTTTTATTGGCACGTCAAAATTGACATGTTGTTGTTTCGCTTTGATTCTCGGCGGTGGAATGAGAAGGAAACAGAAAGGGGCGGGGCCCGCTCTTATGCAGTATCACAGCCTAACCTTGGCAAATGCATATGCCTAGCAAAGCGCGGTCTTTAGGTTGAGTCGTCTGTGGATATTACGCCAATGTTGATCACTTCACGTCATTACCTTTTCTTTTAGGTTTAGAACTTCTGGGATTGACTTTAGCGGACTCTTTTTGTAATTTAAGCTTTTTTGTTTAACTCACTCAATTTCCATTATAGGAAAAATCTAATGAATATATAACACAAAGTGTTGTTCCATGCACGAATCGAAACCACGATACGTTGCACACCAGCCATTTACCTAGCCTTAATAATAAAGCTTATCAAAGAAAAATTTAGAGAATTGAAGATTGAGTTGGGATGTCACTCTTTTTGTTACGACCTTTCGTCGTTAAGGAGATAGTGGGAGACCCGTGCGAAGCAGGGGCGAGCTGCTAGTTAATAATAATGTACTATTGTTTTTTTCAGATCATTCTTTAAGAACGACGATCTATGGAAGGCTGATGTGAACAAAAAAGTGAAGAAAGCAGTCGTCGATACAAGCATGAGCGGGTCTTTCAGAACTTTGGCTATAGATTAATATTAACTCTCATTTTCTTATTATTTTAAAATAGTTTTAGGTCCAATTATTGTATTGTAAATGTCGCTTATCTAGCTCTAAGTTAATTTAGTTTTTGTTGAGAAGAATGTCTCTTATGTACCTATGAATAAGTAAATTGAGTATTTTTGAGGATGCATGGTACGTCATGGGCATACTGATCGCTTATAAGAGTCCCGCTGTGACTTGAAACTAGTAGAGCTTTTCTCAGATAGTTCAAGCGACTAAGTCGTTATTTTCCATAAGTTTAGTATGTCTCACGATGGTTACCATTCGCAAATACTTTATGGATTATGGTTAATTTCGAAAGTTACGCACTTTTGAGGAGCAAAGTATTCGAATAACTCACTCAGCCCTTGCTGGGTCGAGAGAGTATCAGAGTCTTTATCACTAAAGACCTCCTTGTTTTGATTCCAATGTTATAAAATAAGCTATAGATGTTACTCCGCTTGCCCGCAAGTCCAGCTAGATAAACCTTTTCAAAAGTTATGATATTTTTGAGCATGAAATAATTGGCAATTATGAGGCAACAAGTATGAAATGATTATTTTTTTAAATTTGTATGTTCGTATTTTAATTTATTATTTCGAACAATACACTGTTATTTTTATTTTTTTAAGACAATGTGTTGAATGATGCGTGACGTCCCATTCTAGTACATTTTATACTGAGAAGTGGCGTAGTGACCTCGCTATTTTAAATAATTCTAAATTTAAATTGTTTTATACAAGTATTGTTGTCTTTAAAAGGAACCAAAAGAAATACGTGACTAATGTATTTTTCCTTAGGTTATTAATTGACGTAGGTTACTTACCTACTTACTAGATATATTTTTTATTTTCATATTCCGTCCCCATCAAGACTATGTAGATTACATTTATGCAAACCTATGTAGATAATTCCAGCAGTAAACCAAAAGTACTCAGAGATTGTGATAATCTAGGGCAACTAGGCCTAACTAAAATTATTTTTTTCATAATTCTTAACTTGTAAGAAAAACAAATGTAATAGAAACAAATATGTATAATTCCACGTATACAGATCACGATAAGTAATTAATAAATAATGTTAAGGTCTCGCTTTCAATAAATTAATATGAGATTGTCACGCAAACATAACCTAACTTTTGTTATGCAACCAAAATTTTGACGTTTCAATATTTTTCATTCGTAGATGGCGCTAGTGCAGCTTAAGATGATCCTATTCGTTCAGGCGTGTGTGTTTAGTCCTAAGACCAATGTATGTAAATGTCAAAACTTGATTAAATAATAGTTTGATAAAGGAAGATGATACTTAATATGTGAATTTAAGCTACACCCAAGCTACCCCTATTTTGTGAGGGGAAAATCATCAAATGACTTCTCCCGCCCAGGGCCGGGCGGGAGGGAGTGTCAGACTCTTACTGACTAAAAACCCCCTGTTCCTTCTCTCTGGGCCGAGGTCGCGGTGCCTCATTGCGCTTACCCCGCAACCCCGGCTGAACATCAGCCCTATGGGGCCCCGTCTGTGGTGGTCTATTGGGTCTTTGAGGCGCGCGCGGAACGCTACGCGCCGTACGCTCGGGTCTTGTTCTGGTCGGGCGGCGAGCTACCCTTACTCGCCGTCCGCAGACCTGCGCTTACTACCCCTAGCGTAGCATAATATTAGTATGTACTTATACTATATCTTTAGTGCTTTTTTCTGATGCCAAATATTGATTTTTTCTTAAATATTTGCATATTATAAAAAAAAGGTATCAATTATAATGTTAATATATCTGTACAGTGTACATTGGAAGTTATCATGGTATTCTATTAATTTTTTTTTAGTAAAGAAAATAAATCACTTAAATTATCATGGTATATTTTAATAATATATTTAGTTATAGAACATTTATTTTTTTATGAAAAATTATCACAAAGGTATAGGTAGAATTTTCATAAATTTAATTATGATTTTATGTACCTATAAAAGTACTAAGGAGTACTCAACAATATTATTAAAAAAAACAAATAAAAATTAATCATCACTGGTCAAAAAGCTTATTACAGAAATATCGTAATTGCAATTTAATACAGTAGAAATATATTTCATTTTATATCCACTATTTGAACTTTCTTTTAATTACAGTTACTTATTAATAACACAACCTCGTCAAAACATAAAATCTCAAATTAAAATATAAAAAAATATATCTTAGATGTACTTTTAAAATATGTAAGTACCGGGTAATTTTGGATTATTTTGATCCAATGGCATTGTTCCAAACCCTTTAGAAAAATGAACTACAAATAAAAAAGTAAAATATATATTCGTTTTAAATCAGTTCAGACTTATGTATCAAAGTTATGCCACCGGGAAAAATAATCCTAATTTACGGTAGATACTTACTAAGAAAATCACACTAAAATTTTCTTATATCCGTACTCAGAGACCTTTAATGGTTACTTACTATATGGTTCCGATATCAATACATCAAAAACGATACATTCCAGTGAATTTTTTATATAAAAATCACCGTCTAATTAAAAAACATAAAATTGAGTACCTAGGTATTGTGTAATTCATTGTATTGAAAAGATTAAATAACTTATTTTTAATCTTGGAAAAAACCGATTTTTTTTTAATGGAATAGCAGGCAAACAAGCATGCACATCATCTGATGTTTAATTATCTGCGCCGTCATTACTTCGACACTTGTAAGACCAGACCAGAGGAGCCACAGGCCCTTTGTTGCCTTAAATGTTAAAGATGCGTTAAGGTAACCATTAAATGACTCTGAGTGCGACGGTTAATAAAGTTCTATTTACATCATCAATCTAAAGCTAAGGAACGGAAGGAGCCAGGCAGCTCTTTAACTTTTTCAGCTCTGTCGTCACGGTTACCATTGGGCCTTCGAGACTCATCAATTGCCCACAGTTTGTCGTTTGCTAGGAACCAATCTCTGTAACAAAAACAAGTTTTTAGAACACACTTACTTTTTTCTGGGATAAGTCTTCCAACGAGGAATCTGATTGTCTTATGGCAAGCAATCGGCGCCGTCCGTGGACATCCGCAACAATGGAGGAGTAACGAGTGCGTTGCCGAACTTTTGGAGAAGGGTCTTGGAGATTTAGAGATTGTGAGAGGGGAAATAGATTGGGCCTATGGCAAACTCCCTCACACGGCAAAACACAAAGCTAGGGTTATTTTGAGCCGGTTTTCTGTAAGGCCATGGTGTCACTATCAGGCCTATTCTTGGCGAAAAATGGCTCTCCCACACGTACAGCAGTGTTAACCTTCTGGGCCAGAATAAGTAAAATTGAATTTTCTTATGCACAAATACACGTAGGTCGCCTTATAGTGACCCTTACCTTTTAGCTTCAATCTTCTTGATCCACATTCTCTTAATGGATTCAATAGAACCAGCTTTGCCACCGAACTCTGTTGGTAGAAGCTCCTGTGGAACGTCTTTGTATAGCGTGTCAGTGTTCGGTTCGTGGAACTGTATCTGAAAGAAAAATATGAAGAGAATAATTAACTAAATGTAGATTGTAGATCCACAACATTGACGCACCAACCATGCAAAATTCTGTAAATGAGGTTCAACGATCTCATAGTCAAACTGGCTAAGCAGTTTTGTGGGGCCTTTTATTTAGTTTTTAGATTTTTAGGTATTTTGTTAGGAAAAATAAAAGCATTCAGTTATTCATTCATTAAAAATTTCCTGAGGACACATCGGTGCTTGGCCCAAGCAATGCACCCTGCCAACGATACTCCACTGTGTCTTTTGGGGACTGTATGTCTATGACTGTATATGGTATAGCACTCGTGAAATGACGTCAAAGCTGTTCAAATTGGTCTAACAGGCAAAAATATCGAACTCACTCCCTCTCGCCCCAACCTGGGCGGCTGAAATCACCTAATTATTATCCCATCACAAAAAAAATAACATAGCCCATTTTATTTTTAGCCCGGTACCGCCAGATTTGGATCAGATAGAAACTCCTAATGTCATATAAAATAGCAACTTACCAGTTTAGCGACTTCAGTCTTCAAGAATGGCTTGCAGAGCCCGTAGATCTTGCTGATGTAGGAAGGAGCATTGATGACGTGCACCTGCTTTAGTCTGATCGGCATTGCCTCCTGTAATTCAAAGAAAAGTGTTTGTAAGTATTTTTTTATCGGAAATTCATAAAACTGTGAGGTCTGATCAGCAAATAAGAAACTCACATTACGTTTTTAGAAGAAAGAGCATTACGTTTTCTGTTGCGAAATTATCAGTAAATGAATTCTAGTTCTTGGTTACGAAAATGTATTCAGTAAAAAAGGGTTATTCTCATTCGTCCTCGCTTCGTTGCCCGGGATTTCACAATAAAAGGTTTCACGGATTGTATATTAATTTATTTACCTATTAATATTTTTATTTGGACTGTACCGTTGGCGCAGTTCTTGGTTAACCGGCAACCGGACAAATACGTGATTCAGAAATTGTTGTTCCGGGTCTATAAAAGTCCTAATGCTGTGAAAATAAACAGCATTAGGACTTTTTGACTAAGAGCAAATAGTGATTTTTGACGAATAATTTAGGTAGAGGATATGCCGTTAAAAGTGGTACCCGTAATACTTACTCGTAGAATATGAAATCAGTTTACTTTTATCTAGATTTACTTTTATATAGATCATAGTACCTACATCGAAAATCGACGAATTTAAGTAAGTGTGTAGTTTGCCTTGTACCTCAATATACTAAGCCTTATAAGTTTAATGGTCACGTACAGGATTATGTACTAGGTTCAAAGATTGCAATTGACAGATAATTGCAAAGTTATTAAAGCGTTTATGTCCCTATTAACTGTACGCTTGTTCATAAGCTTCATTCTTAGAGTTCATTAAAATATTTGATCTTGTTCTTGACTACCCTAGATAGATAGACAGATAACTTTACGCTTTTCAATTCTCAAAGACTGGTAGCCAGTGCGATTTTCATAATAAATCGTCTAATAGAGGATATGAAAATGATGTTTTTCTATAAAGATAAAGATTGTACAGGGTGTAAAAAGAAACTTAACTACGCATACTGCAGTTCTAACTAAGTAGCGTTACGCTAAAATTATCACTGGGGAACGACTTTTATTTTCGGGTATCAAAAAAAAAAAAATAATTTTATTGCGCGCAATGTAAAGCAAACGGGCTTCTTGTCATTGTGTGCGTAGGTTCACAGCTTAGCATTTAAACGCTGTGATAAGTACGTAGGTCGACGTTTTACTTCGCAACAACAAAACAATTCTATAAAATAAAAATGCTACTGAGATGCGCGATGTTTTGAGTTGGAAAATAAAAAATGTGTCTACATAATAATAAAATAAAGCTTATATTAGTACAGCACGTTGTAATAACCATAATGAAAGCAACACTTGATTTATAACTAAATTGATAATTGATTGCAAAAGTTTGAAGGTCCATCGGATCTCGACACCACATGCGACCGCAACTTTTCGAAAGATAACGCTAATTTATCATTTCTTCAATCTCAAAAAAAGCTAGGTTAAAAGTGTATTTTATATTTTTTAATCTGATTCATATGTCAAAATCACATTAAATTAATATTATGTTACGAAAATTTAGCCTTCAGGATATATTATGCAATGTGATTTATCCTACGTGAAATGTGTTACGACATGTCCAAAAATATCATTAAATTCTAATTCTCTCGTCTAAATCTAATTAAAATAAATATTTGTGACAATGATTTTTGGGGTATTAAGCTTATCTTTATTAATATACTTGTATTTATTGTTAGATTATTACATAAAACTCTTTCAAATTTCAACAGACTTTTTGCTAGTCGACATTTAAACGAATTCTTTATTTGAAATAATAAACTTGGTGGCGCTCTAGTCATTGTTCAACGCATTTTTAAAATCACATAATATTCCAACGCAACAAAATATAGCTGGTTTTAAAAATTTCATAAACTTCTTAAACCATAATTTATTTGTGTTTTTAGGTTATATCATAAACAAACCAAAGAAAAGAAACATTGCACATACCTGTGTGTACATCATATATTTCCTAAGCGCCGACAGATTGACTTTGCCAACGAATTTAAGTGTGACATTAGCCGCATCAAAAATTGGAATCTCTCCTTTCGGAATCTCATGGTCTTCAGTGATTCTTGTGTCTGCTAACATGAAGAAGGTTTTCACAGCATCCACGAAGTTGAAAAGGTCTAAGTTAGGATTGTTCAGACGGTAGATAAACACTTGGTAGTTCTCCTTTGTCCTCTGTGGCAGAGGCAACATGTCCCTGTAACGGAAACGAGTTAATATTAATTTATTGGTCAAAAACTCTTTAGTTTTTGACTTTTAAAGATATTTCTCATGAGATCTGAGTAGGTGTAATTTCGTAGGTATGATTTATAATTAATATTTTTCACATATCGACGACAACGTTCAACAGATGGCGTAACAAGACCTACATCATGCAAGTGAAGTTTGTGCGCAAATAAACGGATAGAAAATCCCAACTTGCAACAGTAGCCCGAAAAACCTTCTTTTCATATCTTAGGGAACTTTAAGCATTCTGTTTTCTAAAATCAAAGTTATAGTTTCGGTTCTTAATGTAACAAAAGGCAATAACTAGATCTGATATCTCCAATACTTATGCTTATACACTCTTTTATAAGGATTAAAGACAGATAATTCTATATCAGGCCAATTAATGGTTTAAAACAAGTAATTTAACCAGATAAAGACCAATTTTCGCGTTAAAAGTACTCCAATAGCCCTTCACAGGCTTTAAGACAGAATGCGGTCATTTTGCGCAACACTTCTTTGAACAAGTTCCCTTGAATAAATATCTGCATCATACTTTATGTCAAGAACTCTAAGTATAGATATGTAATTGATGGGATTACCACATTAGCAAAGAAGTTTAATGAACAAAGGGCAAGTTATGTCAATTAACCGTCCTAGCTATTGTCTCTTGAGCAATTTTTCCATTTAATCATCACCTTTGCTCTTTGTCATGTACTTATATCATTATTGATCTCGACATATTTAATTTAGAGCTATTTTTAAATTTTAATTTCTGCCAACTAATCTTGTGCAATATTTTGTATCTCACAAACGTGTGTAACTCGTATTTTTTGAAAACCGGTCTTTCAAAAAGTATCTGCTACCTTATTCAAAAATCGAAAACGGCTTTGTATATTATTAATCGTCAATTGAACAATCTAAATTCTAAATTTGGCGTGTCTCAAGGTCGGGAAAAACATTCATTAGTATTTTAAAATTGCCAGGATATCTACCTTTCCACATCAAATTATCATTAGATGTATGCTATCTATTAAGCTATGAGACTAAAATGTCTTCCTATATCATCTGCTTGTTCATTACCTCCAGTGCTACTTTGAAGAGTAATTTGCGAACTCGACATCCAAATCCGCGGTAAAATCATGTTTATTTCAAGTTTCGTATTCTCAAATGGAGTGAATACTACACTAGCGCCACCAACTAATTAACGAAGTGAAAGGAACTAAGACCAAAGAGTATGTTGAAGTTTGCGTACAGGATTTTGTATTCCTAAATACAATTCGGTAGCTTCCACTGTTTTCAACTATTGCAATAATTTTATTAAAATGACATAAAATACTTATACTTTTCAATGCATATTGTATAAGTTCGCCTCAACATATGACGTCATAACGTTTTTAATCTTATGAAAAACTGGCAAGACATGCGTTGTGCTTGATGCACAACGCATGTCTTGCCAGTTTTTCGACTATATTATTATGTATCCTTGAGTTCGGCCTAGCCCATTGGCATCATAGTAAGGCTCTTCCATATTAGAGACTTAACCAAAACTTACAATCTCTTAACTGCATAAATAAAAAGGACATAACAACCAAACTTACGTGATTTCAAAAACGCGCTTTATCTCCGGTGACCAGGGATCACGTTTGCAGAACAGGTCGGGAGCATTAGCACGGATTGTGAAGAACAGATCGATGGTACGCTTGGCTCGCTCCTGACTGAATCGGCAGCTGGTCAGGAATCGGAGAAGGAGGATATCCTCTGGAACAAAAATAATAAAGCGTGTTTCATACTGTTTAGTCTATCCTTACTTATTTATTACTACTTCTACTTATTTATCTATACTAAAATTATAAAGAGGTAAAATTTGTAAGTTTGTATGTAGGGGGTAATCTTTGGAACCGCTGGTCTGATTAAAAAATTTCTTTCACTGATAGATAGCTACAAAGTTCCTGAGTGCTATGGGCTATAAAACATCACGCTACTATTGTGTAAATGGAGCCGAGCAGCGTGTGAAAGAGCGTGGGGCAACGTTTTTTATGAAAGAAAGAAAAATAAACTTATAATTATAATTTTACGAAAAATTGCTATTCTTGAAAAGCTAATAATTTTTACGTGACTTGTGAAAGGTTGTTTTTAGGTTTTTTATTCGATTTAGATTATTTACCTGAACTTTACAATTTATAACAAAAACAATACGCTTCCTACAATAGGATAAAAAATACGAATTTATTGTAACCGAGACTCATAAAAACAACATATTGTTGACAGGTAGATACCAATTTCTCAGTTGGTATTCTAAATGTAGATATTTGGAATTTGGATTTGGAATTACCCACTACCCAAATAACAACATGTTTACGATGGTCATCATAATATTATTTTACAACGATGGGAAAGACCGAAAGACTAAAAAAATAATCGTTGAACTTTGTAAGCAAAGTGGCAATTAGAGACCATTATTTTGTTGAATGACGTATTACAAAACATGTGATGCATAGCCTTTTATTAATTAATGTAACGCAGATTAAAGTGATGAATACCAACTCTTTATATAGGATCATACATTCGTGGAAATATACCAAAATTTCGAAGTAAGTAGTACTAAAGAAGGAAAGTTATAAAAACAAAATACAGACGTCATTTTTATGTGATAAGTCGGCAAACGAGCAGACGGATTACCTGATGGTAAGCAATCAACGTCGCCCATAGACACCCGCAACGACAGAGCAATTACGAGTGTTTTGCCTTTTGTGGATTGGGCATTTGGAGATTAAGGGATTGGGGCAGGGGAGGGATTGGGATCGGTAACCTCACTCACACGGCAAAACACAACGCCGTGGTTGTTTCACGCCGGTTTTCAGTGAGGCCGAGCATGGCTCTCCCACACTTAAATAGTTATACTAAGAAAACTCTATAATTCTAAGTATAGGGCTATCTAACACATTGGTATTTCTTATAAAATTATAGAATGAGAGTAAAAAAGAAAGAGATCTTGTGTATTACCTACTATTAAAAGTCGCGTAAGCCACGAAAAAAGACCCTTTCCTTTCTCCTTCTTTAAGCTAGGACAGCGGCAACTTATTGCGCTTGAACAAGCAAACCCTGGCTGGAAGACAATAATAATTTTCTTTTGTCTCTCTGTTGCTATTACTAGCACCATTCCCGGGGGGCCGGTCGGTGAGTTGGCGAGTCTCCGCCAGCCATTTTTACATCACATTGTTTTGGCAGGTGCCATAGTCCTTCCATATCAGCCCATAGCAGCCCACATCCATAGCCTAACCGGGGACTGTCCTTGGATGCATTTCCATAGTGCATACAGGGATAGTCGCCGGTTCGTGTCCCATTTCATTTAGATTAAAGATGTCTAAAGGGCCTCTGCGCAGTTGGCTGCGGCCCCTCGTACGCCTCCCAAATGACCGTGACTCTGTGTTCTCGTGATTGGTGAAGACATACTAATGTCATAAAAAAATAAACAGTTGTACTTGCACGAGTGCATGGCAGCATAGAGTAAACCTTATATCTCAAATATACCTAATTGAAATGTCACGAATGTACTTATAAATAATAAATAAATAGGTGTAAAGTACTCGAGCAATGAGACATACGGACCTAGATAAGTACATATTATGGGTCAGGATTTATTATAGGATAGGTTGGCAAACTAAAACTCCGATCATTTGATGGTAAGCCATCAGCGCCGCCCATGGACACCCACGTTGAAGATTTGAATTTGAGGATTGGGATGGGAGAGGAGAGGAAAAGGGATAAGGTCCTTGTAACCTCAATCACACAGTGAAACACAAAGAAAACGGGTAAAACTTTTTTTTGACAGGGAAAATCATCAAATGACTTCTCCCGCCCAGGGTAAGGAGAGAGACAGTGTCAGACTCTTATTGACTAAAACCCTCTTGTTCCTTCTCCTGCTTTAGGCCGAGACCGAGGTGCCACATTGTGCTTACCCCGCAATCCCGGCAAACCTGTAAGTTTGTGGTATTAATAATCATGGTACGCATGTCTTTTCCACATAAAAAAATATATCAGGTCAAATAAACCTATTGATACATCGAAGTCACATTAACTTTTTAATTTTTAATACCATTCAGGTAGATCTTAAGGTCAACCAGTGATGGAGACAAGATGGTTATTTAAGAGAGGGGAGGGGGGAGGGACTACGCAATGGACGACCTTTCGACCAATATTACTATGGATTGCCTTGTGTGTCTGTTTATAATGTGTTTTGCCTTGAACCGTTAAATTTCTCTGTTGATATATTGTATTTTGTACTGAGAATATAGGTACCTTTCTTTGACAATTAGCTAGTGTCACACCTTAAGATATACATTTTTTACAGCTATAGTGATTGGACGAACAAGCCTCTTACAAAACGCTTTTTTTTTGAAGGACAACGGGAAAATCTTCAAACGAATTTTCTCGCCCAGGGTGAAGCGAGAGGGAGTGTCAGACTCTTACTGACTAAAAACCACCCCGTCCCTTCTCCTGCTTGAGGCTGAGGCCACTATACCTTATTGCAACCCCGCAAGCCCGGCTGAACATTGAACCTGTTGGGCCCCATCTGGGATGATCTAATGGATACTGGCTAAGAATAGACCTGATAGAGATTGTTTCGTATGGTTGGGAAAGTTCCAAATTCAACCAAGTAGTCTATTTATTGATAATTAACTTTCTTCGTTTTGATAAGAATGGCACAGGTTGGCGCAGTGGTCTTAAAGAGCCAATAGACCACCGATGGGGCATGACAGGGCCGATGTTTATTCGGGTTTTCGAGTCAAGCGTAATAAGGTTCCGAGGCCCTGGCCTGGAGCAGGAGAAGGAACGGGGGCGTTTTCAGTTCAAGTTCAGTAGATTCTGACAATCCTTTTCACCTTACCCTGGGCGAGAGAAGTAATGTGATGATTTTCCCCTCACATAAAAGAGGGTTTGTGCAGTGACTGGGAAATTAACTAGTTCCATTCTCCCACATAACAACTTTGAGTGTTCAACAAATATTTGTTCAAAATATGGGTGTGTTATGTATCATGAATTTGAATACGACAACGTTACAAAGAAAGAAAAGGCTACGTGTATAAGCATAACCTTTCGGTTTGTTATTCTGTATTGATGTTTGTTGTGAATACCGTTCCGAGTTCTACTTATCCGTTAGGAGAGAAAGCGTGAACTGTGAGCAAAAGATCTCATCTACGATAGTAATGTCTCCGTATGTTTGTACACTATGTAGCAAATCATAGCGAAGAAAATTGTTTATCTAACTGTAACTACATATATATATATGCATCAAAAAAATTTTGAATTGGATAGGCCGGCAAACGATTCCTCTGATGGCAAGCAACCAGCGCCGCCCAACGACACACGCAACAACAAAGGAGTTATAAGTGGCCTTTTGTGGGTAGGCTGTTTGGAGATTAAGGTTGACCCCGCAGATTATTCTCTGATTCGAGATCGGTATTCCCTATGAGGCACTCTAGTCCAGTCGAGCCGGCCCATTCGTGCCGAAGAATGTTTTTCCCATACTAAAAAAATATCATATTGTATGTTTCTACATTCTTGTCAGTACCTATATTAATATAGTATGACTGTATCTTTTCATTTCGAGTAATTTATTCCATTTTTCTTAAAACTACCAGGATCTGAAGGTACGCTTCTCTTTCATCCTTATTTAAATACTTTACAATTTCAGTAAAATAGTTATAATGCCTCCTTAAGTTTTAATTTTATCAAATGAAACATTGTCATATTACTCAATGTAATAAACCCAACAAAATAATTTTTAAAATAGCAACATTAAAAATTAACGAAGTGTGGGAGAGCCATGCTTCGGCACGAATGGGTCGGCTCGACCGGTGTGATACCACGGCCTCACAGAAAACCGGCGTGAAACAACCACAGCGTTGTGTTTCGCCGTGTGAGTGAGGTTACCGGAGGCCCAATCCTTCCCCTCCCTCAATCCCTCCTCGATCCCTAAATCTCCAAATCCCTAATCCCTAAAAGGTCGGCAACGCACTTGTAACTCCTCCGTTGCGGGTGTCCATGGGCGGCGCTGATTGCTTACCATCAGGTAATCCGTCTGCTCGTTGCCGACCTATTACATTAAAAAAAAAATTAAAAATTAACTTTAATTTGTGAACTAAGCTCCCTACCGTCATTGGAACCTAACAAAGTAACACAAAAGTTGACCTGCATTGACTACTAATATGTCTGATGACGTCATATGCCTCAAAATAACATATAGACGTTATTGTGCCATCGAGTCACACACAGACGGACAAAATCGAAACTAAAGATGGCTTGACAAAGAAACCGTACGAAACTTTTAAGGTGTAGGTAGGTATGACTAATTAAAAACAAAAATTAAGAAAAGGGGATTTGACTATTGCAAAATGACTAAACATTTTCTTAAAAAAACTTATTGCTTTAAAGTAACAAAACTGGTCTGGTGACACCGACGGGAAAGTTTGATTTAACTACTAATTATATTACTCCACTTATTGTACCGACAATTTTCGTCTTCCAAAAGTTGATGCTAATATTACAGTATCCTACACTCGCGCGATTTCACCAGCAACCCGGCGCCCTTACAGTTAATAAAAGCATGATGGTTTTTGCATATAGCCGTCCTTGACAAATACAAAAAGAAACATGTAATTCGAACCAGCAGTTCCAGAGATTAGCGCGTTCAAACAAACAATCAAACTCTACAGCTTTATAATAAGTATTAGTTTAGATAAAGTTCACATTAAACC